CCACCCCCACCCCCCAAACAACAACAACTGCTACAACAACAACAAAATTACATGTATTCAAAAGTAAATAAAAATGAAAACGTTCACTCAAGTCGAAAACAACCCATAGGCGCCGCCAAAGGAATATCTTTGTACTCTATTTTACAGCATGAAGCCAGAACCGCTAAACACATAGAGCCATTGGACTGACATGAGGTGCCAAAAGAGGCAAAGAGTTTGCTAAAGAGGAGACAGATATTAAAATGATATAAAAGAAAGAAAAGATACACGGATCACTGACCGATACTTTAAAAGTGACAGTGGTCCATACAGTCGAACTTGTTAAATCAGGGGGTTCTTTTAACTTTTGCCGGTGTATTTCTTTATGTTTCACTTTGCTTTTGTGTTTATTTTCTTTTTTGTCACTAAAATATGCAATTACTAAACATTTCTAAGATGCGGGAAAATCCCGGGAAAAGCGTAGTTAATTCACCTTTCTAAACGCAATAATGAATAATATTAAAGTTCAGAAATTCATTATGCCTTTGTCCAGTACGAACGTTAATGAATAACAAAACGGCAACATTTACAACATGAATTGCCTTCACACAAATGAATACCCTCAATTCCCTTTTAAAAAATATACGAGCATGTTTCTTAAAAGCATGTGAAATGAAAGTAAAAAACAGCAACAACCAAACCAAACACATTAAAGCAAAGTAAAACAGAACAAAACAAAACAAAACACAAAAACAACAAAAACAAACACACCAAAAAACAACCTAAACACCTTCAACCTCCGGGAATATCTAAGAGGAAATAAGATCATGGTCAGTCAGGGCCGAGGAAGAGGATCACTAACCGATTTCTTTGTCCAATAAAACTCGCCGTTTCGTTTTCTTTCCCCGCGTTCTGATGAAAAAAAAAATGAAGTAAAGAATTTTTTTAAAGCTTGTTCATCATGCTCCAATATTATGAACAACAAGTGCGAAAAGATTAACCCTATTGATACCATTGCAGTACAAGAAGAAGGACTCCCCCCCCCCAACCAACAATTTAAGAACAAATAATTAATTAAAAAAGAAAGTGAAGAAAACGCTTATCTTAATTCAAATTAATTTAACAACAACAAAGAAACAAAAAAGGAGAAAAAGTATTTCTTTGTTTTTGGTTTTGTTTGCTCCTACGATGTTTCCGCGTGGTTTAAACACCGTTTCCGTTGAAAACATAACGTATCTTTTTGAATGAGGATTGAAAGAATCCAAAGACGGGAAACGTAATTGTCCTAGATGTTATTATGTTTTTGTAATCTTTAACGTTGGGAGTTGGGATTTTTTCGTTAGCTCCAAACTATTGGGAAGAAATGTGGAATCTAGGGACAGAAACATAAGCTAAAAACCAGAAGAAAAAAAAAGAATATGAAGGAAACATTGAAATATGCATGAAGTCAACATTAAAAAAGAATATGACCCCCCCC